CTAGCAGACTTAATATTGCAATGTGATATAATGCCATGCGTCAATGAAGCAAATGCATTTTTCTACAAAAGGGCTTTTGCTGCAGACAGGAAGTTTATTTTTTGAATTAGTCACCGGTTTCACTTCATGCTGATTATACCATTTTCATTAACATACAATAGCACTGTTTCCATGCAAGTGCTATCAAGATTACATTTATGGTTCCAAAAGCTGCTTCACTACACCTACACACAACTTGACTGCAGCACATAGTACCAGATAAGTGTTCTCTGTTTCATATACTTACCTAAAAACCTAATCTTCATCACCTTTTATGTAAATTCCTACTGCAGTAAACAGAAAGGGGTTGATAACTAATAAAAAACATAGAAATAGACCTGTACTTTGACGATTATGCATTTTTTTTTTTTTACTATAAACATCACATCTATGAATAGGATATAAACATGCCACTGAACACGTTCTTTAAGAAGGAAAATGGGTTTATTACACTAATTCTAGTCAGATAATATGTAATAAGTTCTGGCAGCACAAGCTATTTTTTCAAGAGCGATAAGATCTCTGGTAGGAATTTGATAGAAATAATGAACTTTTTCTTCTGTGTATGTGTCACCTTATTTATTTATTTACACCCACCAGCAGCTGCTATTCTTTCTTGAAAAAATGAAACTTGGGTATTCCGCCTTTGAGAATATTTTTGCAGAGGAAAGGCACAGCGGGGCTATATTTCCCCAAGACATGCACACGACTTGCTAATACAGACAGGCAGGAAAAGGATGACTCTGCATACATCAGGAAGTAGCTGGCAAAAGGGAGACTGTTCAGCTGGTTGAGTCAGGGGAGAAACCAGCTCACACTACTCCAAACATATCCAATTACAGCATTAAGCAGTACCTTTGGCCTGAGTCACGCAGCAATTTGTCTTATCAGTTTCTTTCTGATTATCTGGGTGTTGAGCAGATGGAACAGTTTCACTTATAATAAAACTAGTCTACCCATGGAATTACCCTAATTGACTATCTCATTTAACTCCATATGTAGACATTTTGATTCTAGAATAAGAATGCCTAATACCATTGGATTAAGATAAACAGACATGAGGCAGTCTTGTCTCAGGATATATTCACGTATAGAATTACCAAGAATAACTCAAGGTGCAGACAAATTAATTTTTATATTTAAATACTGTTGGAATGCCAGGTTATTTTTTATGAAGAATTTTGAAAGGTCTTTTCTCTCTTAAATGTGAATATTCCATAATGTAGAATATAGGAAAACAAATGCACTGTTATAAACAACCTGGACACAAAAACATCCAGCTTTTTGCACAGCTTTCTGGGCAGGGTGCGAGAGCAGAATGCTTTATTATACCAATAGATTCCACTACCTTCTGCTCAGTAGGTCACTTACATTCTGACTCAGTGGGTCACTGGTATGGGAAAAAGGAAGGATGAGGTAGGAGAAGTAAAGATAGAAGGACAGAGATCTTCAACCCCCCAACTGCCAGGATGTGGGCAGATTTTCAGAAGTAGTCAGCTGCTTCCACTGTTATTCATAAAATGAGTTCCTATTTACCATGTAAATCTTTCTTGCTGGTTTTTGATTAAAGCTTAACAGCAAATTTTTAGGGCTGAAGACTGAGTCTATCTTTTGCACAGCGCTGAATGCACCACCACTATTCAATAAGAATAACCCAAATTAAATAAAGAAAACTAAAGTCATTGTTTCAAAACAAGAGAGAAACACTGAACGTCAGTGCCAATATTATTAGACACTATTGTGACAAATGTAACCAAAACCACTCCTAGCTACTATTAAAGGAGAGAGAGGAGGTTTTATTCATCAAATACACACACAAATTCTTAAAAACGCTATTATTTATCAAGTAGTTATTAAAACTTGCAAATACTTTAACAAGCAAATACTTCAATTTTTGTGCTTGGTGTTTCTCCTTCCCCACCCTGCACCAAAAGAAACATAAAACAACCTACAACCATCCTGCTGGTGAATCCAAAATAAAGAATTATTTGTTTACCACCGAATTAGAAACTAATTCAGGCCCAGAAATCTTGCTCAATTTCACATACTCAAAATGAAAAAAACTGAAAAAATTCTTCAGATATCTGCAATGCCAGAAAACACTTAGTGTAATTCTGTAGTTTAAACTCAGAGATTAAATAATCTTCTCAGTTTCCCTCAGATATTACTCTCCCTTTAAGGTTTACTGCTAATATTAGTGTCACGTACTAACAGTATGGGAGTGACAGAATAGCATCTCTTCCCAAACAATTATGAACGTTCTCAGTTTAACTGTTTTATATAAACCAATTAAGTCATTAAAACTAAAGTGAATTGTAACATCTCTCTATTATATCCAGGAAACATTGCAGATATTAGAAATTAAAATGACTGTGTGCAGTATTCTTAGACCATGACTTCCCTCAGGATTTTCTCAGTGTCAGTGCTGAATTAGGACATTCTCGGACTCTCTAGCTCTGCTGAAAATGAGGATCAATTCAACATTCAGCTCTTTGCATTTGGCCCCAGTGGCCCATCAGCAGTTAAGCAAAACCCTCAACAGAAGGGCCTGTTCTCATCACAGATCATAGAATCACAGAATCATAGAATGGTTTGTGTTGGAAAGGACCTTAAAGATCATCTAGTTCCAACCCCCCTGCCAGGGGCAGGGACACCTCCCACCACAGCAGGTTGCTCAAAGTCACATCCAGCCTGGCCTTGAACCCCTCCAGGGATGGGGCATCCACGACTTCCCTGGGCAACCTGTTCAGCTCACTGTTGTAGAGCCCGTTTACACCATGGACCTAAAAACTGTTGCTGCACAACTGAGAGCAAAGAAGGGAATCAAGTCCATTAGTCACCATTGCCACAAAGGAAAGGAGGGAAAAAAGTATATTGAACAACATCTTCATGTTGAAAATGAAAGATGTTACATAAATGTATGTTATGAAATTATTATTAAAATCACTTTTATCTCATAAAACTTGAATGTCTAACTATGACATTTAGTATTATTTCTAGCCTTAAAACTCAATTATCACTATGCTTAGCTAGTACACGGCAGAGCACTATGATCTCAGAAGAATCTCTTTCAGAGTCAGAGCTTTCAGAGCTTCCCATGTATTAATAAAAATTATTTAAATGAGTAGTCACTAGCAGAAGCCAAGGAAAATCCAAATGAAGACTATGATCTCTTTCCACTTGAGCATTACAGAGTTTCAGATTTCAGATACAAGCAAATTTGCATGCTCACCTAGTTTTGATCATATTTTTAAAGTGTCTGTTTTAATCAAAGCCACACATTTCCAACAGATTCTAGCTCTGTTTCATTTACAGAGCTCAAGCCTTCCAAAATTCAGAAGCATACACAGGACGTATCTTGCAACTCGGCCCACTCCTCACATCATTTTTCTGTTCCTCAGGTATAGCACAGTTTTTCTATAAAATACTCATCCTAAATAAGATCAGTGGTACTTAATCACATCTCAGGAGGCTATATATCCCTTTGCTAACACTGACCTTGGCTGGGAGTTAATCCCATAGTTGTAAGTGGTTTGGCTATATCTCTTTAAAGAAGGAGTACCAGAAGAGCTCATTAGAGGGGCCCTTCGGTAAAACCAGAAAATCTTTACCTATCTTCACAGCACTAAAACTTGCTGTCATGAGACACTGACAAACTTTGGCAGTACTAAAATTTTAGATATCATATGTGTTACTGATTAAACTACACTTAGGTTTAGTCTTTGCCTATAATAAGTGAAATACATTTTTGAAAATACCCATCACTGCTTTAGAGTTCTACAATGCTGATACCTGTACAAAGGTAACTTAAAAAAAAAAAAAAGGCAGCTAATGACTTGATCTTTCTAAACTATGCAAAGAAATAATCTTAGCTTGTATGAGTACTTTTTCTGAACAAGTACAGTTACTCAATACAGTAAAAGCTAGTTATATATGTAAATATTTTATGGTAAGCTGTTTAATAATAAAATTTATGCTTTCCAGCTGATTTTTATTTTGACATTTTTAAGATAGTACCAATCACCCTGGAATTGTATTTAAAATATACTTGATCATTTTGAAAGTCACATTAATATAGCCAATTGTCCGATAATTATATTTTGTCTAGATTCTGCTTTATCGTAATGCTTTCATGTTGCCCAAACAGAGCTTGTTTCAGGACAATTTTCATTTATTCCTGAGAGAGTCTAAACCATGGTACCGTTCTTGAAGTACAACAACCCATTATAATGTGTGCTTCATAATTCAAAAATGATGTGCTGAATACTCATGTGATTTATTTAAGTTAAATGTCTAAACCTTTAGCCAGGGATTTTCAACCTTTTCAACTTGCAGATCCCCTTAGCAGTCTGTAGCCATGCACAGAAAATTTATTTCTAACAAAACCAGACTTGCTTCTTTTAGTTACTTCCCACAGAAACCTTGCTATTAATTCACGGACTCCAAATTTCTAAAAGCACTGCAGACTAACTAATTATCTAGAGCTGGCTGGTAACAAGAGAGATTACATTAATAGATGTAGTTGAGGACTGGGACTTGAGAAATAATATTCCATATTTAAACTCAACAGCGCAAAGATCATTTGTTACTTTGAACACGATATAGCAGCAATTAATAGCATAGAATGAAAAGATATATAGAGCAATTTTTTCTCTCACTGAAAAAAAACCCCACACCACAATTCAACAGTGAATTGGGATTAAATAGACTGGATTTAAACCAACATTACAATTGTCTGGTCTTTATAAAATCAGCTACTGCTGTGTTAGGGGAAAGTGTAATGTAAGTAATTTACATGTGGGCTTGCTATAGAGGTGAGGAAGGTAAGCAAATCCACTTTGCAACCAAAACAGCGAACAGCATAACAAAGTGCGTCAGCAGAACAAGAACATAAACATTTTTTAGCAGTAATACTGTAGCCTTTCAACCATTTTTTTTCTTATAGCTGTTTTTAAAGATACCTTGGCAAACGCTTGCTGGCTGGTGACTGATTTTGGCTGGATTACACGAAGGTGGGAGTGGGCTGTCAGCAGGTGATGTCCTAGCTCTGCCTCTGGAGGACTTCTAGAAGTAGGAATCAGACGGACAGCAAACTGAAAAAATGGAAGAGGTGGGAAAAGGACTTAATAGCCTCATAGTGAGCTCACTTATTTTGTTTCCAAACCCAACACCTATGCAGGTCTATGCATGAGTTAAACGGTCGTTAGGAAACTCATTCATGGAACATGGGGTTGTAGAGGTCGTCTTCACTTTTTCAAAGAACTGTAATACTGCTCTGGAAAAAAGGTAGCCTACAGGTTCGTCACAAGCCCAGGGTAATGTGGTTAGCAGGCAGAGTCTAGAACAGATATACAGCCAAAGCCCAGCCCTCGGCATCCAATATAAGATAAAATATCTGATCAATCTCCAGATTGATCTCTACAGCACCTTTAACTAACTTAGGACCAGCCTGCAGCTGAGAAATTTAGCAGGTGAGTAAGAAGACTGTGCACCTGGGAGAAATCAGGTGGAGTGCTGGCAGACCAGCATCCCAGCCGGGGACTCCCAACTAACAGGTACAGGACATGACCTGCCCCTACAAGCTGAATATGGACTGTGTTAGGATTCAGATAGGGGATATATTCAAGAAAATTGTTTAAACTTTTTCCCGCCCCACAGCAGGGCTGATGGAAAGCAGCTTTTATATTTGTTGGGAGAGGCTTCATTTGCAAAGAGTTACTCAAGCGATAGCAGAGGGGTTTAGCTTAAGCTCCTGAAGACAGGGATGCGGTACTCACCAGGGGATGCAGCACAGCTAGATCCAGCAGAGTGAATCCCCAACGGTGAATTCTGGAAAAATAATTTAAGTAGAATTTAGTGTGTGTGAAAACTGTTCAGTAATAACAGAATGCTGCTTACAAAACTCATTGCAAATCCTTTTGTCTTTGTCTACCATGGTCTGATTCCTCAAGTACTGTGTTTAAATTAGGTTTGTAAACAAGAAGGTGTGGTAGAAAGGACCTACGTGCCGTAACTACTTGAATAAACGCTAAGAACAGTGAGGAATTGGGGAGAACATAAAAGCAAAGACTGGAGGGTGCCAAAATAACTAATGATACTTTCTTGAAAGGAATGTCTGATTGATAGAAAGTCCAAGGAATGACTTTTACAAACAATGGCAAAGAGCCAGTCCCCATGAGTCAACCTCACCAGGCTAAACTGCTGTTCACGGGCCATGTAGTGCAAACAGCATCAACATCTGGTAAGTGCCACATCTTCAGCTTGGAAGATCAGCCTGTCCTGATTTCAGAGGGACAGGGAGAACACAGAAGCTGGGGTGTCCTGGAAGGGGCTCCTCAAAAGCTGCTATGGTCAGAGCCACCATGGCCTCCCAGCTCAAGAGGCAGACAGACCAGCTAGCTCCAGCTACCACTCCTGAGGAGCCCCGGGGGGCCAAGAGAGCTTTTCCCACCAGGGATGGTTTTCCCCAGTGGGGAGTGGGCACCCTTAGCCCCCGGAGCCCGTTGCGCAGTGAGGGGTCAGAGAGCTAAGGGGGCTGCTCAGGGACCCCAACACCCACTGGGCCCTTAACACAAGGTGATGAGGCGCTGCTGGCAGCCCCTCCATGGTGGGGGGGACGCGGCCTTGGCAGTAGCTCCCCTCGTGCTGCCCCTGTGGGGTCAGAGAAGCCGCCAGGCCCCCGTGAGGAAACAGCCTCCCTCGGGGAGCGGGAGCGCTCGCAGCGGCCCTGGCGCCGGCTGCGAGGGGCGTCCCGTCCCCTGAGGAGGGCCGATAGGGCGGGGAGAGCCGGCCGGTGTGGAGATAACCCTGCCGTGCCCTCCGCCGATAAGCGGGCAGGGGGCTGCCGGTCCCGCCGCCCTTCCGCCATTTCCATGCTGGGCACGGCACCCCGGGGGCGGCCGAGCGAGCCCGCCCCGCTCCCGAGGGGG